AATGAGGTAGGCGTGGCAGCGTAGAATGCACCCTTCCCAAGACTGGCCACCTCGGGACAACAAAGACCCATCCTTCAACCGAAGAACGAAGCAAAGTCAAGAAATACGCTCACGGAAAATCGAAGCTTACGAACGAGACAACTTCCGGCATTGGCTGACGACGGACCCCCCCCCCCCTGAGCTTCAGCACACAGCCAGGACACATCACAGACGGCGTCAAGGACCGATGCGATGCGCCCGATTGATCGACGCAAGCCCGATGCCGAGAGACCCTTCTCCCCCTTTTCCCCATAGCTCCCAAGCCTGCGCCACTGAAATGGGGGGGGCAAAACGCTCCAATTTGAGGTCCGAAATGGAAATGCAATGAATGGAGTGACTCCCATCCGCCCGCGGACGGCCGAGGGCAAGCGAAAGAAAGGACGAACGGAAGTCCGCGGGCGGGCTCATTGAGTGGCGCCGCAGCCGGGACGGGTAGAGAAGGGAACCACGCAGCCGGCGACTTTTTTCTTAGGGGGGGGGGGGGTTGGAATGGAGTGTGCCGTTATTTGTTCTGCCCATGTTGGTTATTGGGCTCTCCAATACCTGGTGGGGACTACCTACCTAGTTCGAGGGGTTGTCTCAGGCCCGAGAGAGGCGCGCGAGAGAGCTCTGCGCACATCAGCTGTGTAGGAAGGTACTGTGTAGGAAGGTAGTAAGTAGTAAACGCCCAGCTTTTTGGCTTAGCGGGCAGGGCCCAAAGCCGACAGGGGCAGAACAAATAGCCGTGCTCGGGGAATCAGCCTGTGGCGGGGCGGATACGCTGATGAATGAGACATACACACACTCACTGAGAGAACTGCTGCTTGTCTTCGAAGGACGACAGAGAGAGAGAGTGAGAGAGAGGGGCACCGGGTGGACGCGGCGGACAAGATGTTGGGGATCTGCGGGTGGGGGAATTCACCACAGTGCAACCCAGGCACACATCTACGTACGCACCAGGGGCATGGTAATTGACGGGTCGCGTTGCTCTTGTGGGCCGAGAGGGTCGTCCCCCTTCGCTCGAGAAAACGTGGGCGAGCTGCCTGTTACGTGTGACGAGAAGCCATGCATGCGATTGCAGAAATTCTTATCAGAATCCTCTGGTCTGGGGCGAGGTTGAGGGGGGTGGTCCGCCGCTTTCATGTCAGTTGAGAGATGACACTGCATAGGGATGGATGTCGATGGGTTCGGGAGGATTTTTTTTTGGAGAAGAATGCCGACCAGCTGACGTCACACTAGACTCGTTTGGGCCTGGGCGCGATGTGGGCTTGAACGGGTTGTTGAGGGTGGTACTAATCGACTACCATGCACACTAACTAACTATTTGCTGCTGCCTTCGCTGATGCCCGTTTGGCGGACTGGCAGCACTGACAAGCTCATCCATCCCTGGGAGAATTGACCTGGATCGGTTGCATTGGGAGCACAGGCGCGAGAGGCGAGACAGGCGAGGCAGCCATGTTGCAAGGCGAGACATCTGAATGGTCATGTATCTGATGTATCCAATGCTCGTTCCTGGTCATTCCACGCCTGTTTGTGCCACGAGCTGAAGGGGGGCCAATTGGGGCCGTCACCCCAGCTCTGACAAGTTGCCAGAGAAAATTGGCCATGGACCGAGGGGAACGTTTTCTCAACGGGAGCTCCGAAATCCTGGGGCACAACTACAACGACAAGGATGGGGGGAGAGGAGGAAGGGGGGGGGAAGATTCGCCTGGCTTGGCCTGCACAATCGATAAGGACCCGATCAAGCTGCAACGCTAATGGGGGGGGGGGGGAGCTTGCCCTGTTCCCCTCGATGCTGCAGCCGGGGGTCCAGGTTTGGCGCAGCCGGCTTCCGTCCGTCTTTTTGGACCCGATTACTATCCCCCCCCCGTCAACCCCCAGTGAAATCAGTGAAATGGAAATTGTCAGGCCCGGTTTCCTGAAGGACGGGAGGAGGCTATGCAACACGTTGCCGATGAACTGTAGAAAGATGAAGGGGGACGGCCGAACATTGAGTCCACCTGTCGTCTTGCATGCTGACACCTGTACGAATGGGCATCTACCTCTGTACCTAGTTACCTGCCTAGGGGTGTAAGGCTTGCAGGCCCTCTTCCTAGCATCTTCACCCCGTCATTGGTTGGGTCCTGCCAGATCGAATGTATCTATTTGCCTACGTACCTCAGAAACGGCCACAGCACTGCTCGACAGACAAGACGTCCCCGAGGTAGCCATGCAGAAGGCGGTAAGCACGGTACCACAGAACTGCATCTATACAACCCTATGATGGCAATTGCGTTGCGGTGTATTGGTCGACGAACATCAGCCGCTCCATGTCGTCAGACCGTGGGTCGTATGGCTCAGCTGCCGACTTGCCTTACATAGTATATACCATCAACCTGTCTGTCTAGGTGCTTCCAGGGAAGGCTGCCCCGTACCTGCGTTACATCTACAATCTGCTGCCTCGTCCCCTTTCCTCTCACCATTGATCTAGACCAACTTTCTTTACATTTTTGATTTGACTGAGCTTTGCAGTGGTGGGTCGTCTATCCTGCCTGCTACTTTGATTCGCACCTTGAAATCGTCCCCCTCAACAGCGAGGCACAACGTCAGGTAAACACATCTTGGGCTCTAATTCACCACTGTCACCATGGAAAGTTTCGGCAGCCTGGCCCATCAACAAACCCCCCACGAGCTGTCTGACCTGCCCTCTCCCTCACTCGGCCTCCGTATGGCATTCCCAGGCAACCTGCCACCAGTGTCATGGGGCGTGAGTTGGAACATGGCGCCTCAAGAACAATGCATGCCACGGGACTAGCCAAAGAACCCAAGGGAGATCAGCATCCAAGTGGTGTTGGTCTTGGGGGCGGTGGTCCGCCCCCCCTTGTCCGGCTTGGGGAGCGGCCGGGACGAGACACACACAGAGAGAGAGAGAGAGCAGGGTCCATTCGGGTCCCAGCAGCCCAGCATCCCAAGATCCCAGGAACCACACCCCCCCCCCGGCCCCATGCCCAATTAGCGGCACCTGGACATTTTCCCCAACAGAAGATGCGACCTGGCGGACGGGAAACTTTTTGCTAACACACACACCCCTTGCCCCCCCCTAGTCCCGGGACCGAGTCGTCGCTCTGCTCGAACATTCATCAACCCAACACCTCCTCCTCTCTCCCCTCGAAAACGACTCTGTCAGACTCTCCAAATTCACCTCCCAGAGACTTTCGAGCACGTCGAGCACAGAGTCCCCCCGCTACAACTCGTCTCGACCCTCAACCCACGAAAACCACACACAAACACCAACCGTCCACGCCTCGAAGTCCATCTCCCCACTACAGCTCCACGCAAGCTCCCTGTCCCCAAATTCATGACGGTCTCCATCTAGATACCCGCGTCTTCTCCCACGCCTATTCTTCCTCCTCTTCTTCTTCTCCTCGCCCCCTTCTTTCTCCCACACCTCGACATTTTTTTGTAATTACACACAGTCGCCGCAACCATGACTCAAGTCGAGGCAAACGGCACCGGCCGCGTCGTGCCCCAGTCTCAACGGCAAGACCTCGTACGCCGAGAAGCACAACATCGCCGACCACTTCATCGGTGGCAACAAGCTTTGCGAATGCGCCCGCATCCAAGGTCAAGGATTTTCGTTGCAGAATAAGAACGGTTACACCGTCATCACAAATGTTTGTCTGCCCCCCTC